CAACTTCAAAAAGAAACCCCTGAAGCTAAATCCTCAGGTCCAGGAACCAAATCAAGCAGTTGACGTCTTCATATAAGAAGCCCTGCAAAATCAACAAACCATCCAAAATCCAACACCCTCAGTAAACCGATTTATTACAGACACACTCTTTTAATACATATATTTTAAAAAGGGAACTATTTCTTCATAATCATTTATTTATTCCTAAACATTTATATATCCTATTATTTAACAAGACATTGGACCCATGCCTCCCAGGTGTCCCCCAGCATCTTCTCCTGTCCCATGAATAAACTAACAAATCTCAGAAATAAAAACAGATGTGACAATAGACCTCATAATTGTTTAAGATTTATAGTACTGAAGTTTTTTTTTAAACTTCATTAACTAATTACCTTTTTATTATGATGATTTATAGATTCACCTTCTGTTGAATGATGTTGATCATTAGGAGAGAAATGTGTGAAACTTCCTGTATCACCTTCATTTACTGATTTAAGAACTGTAATTTCAATTCAATATGTACAGCATTTACTCGTGATATCTTATTATAATAATTACTTTTATTATTTGATAATGAATTTTCATGTAAAAAAATCTGCTGGTTGTGCACATATGTTTGCTGCTTTTCATTTGTTTGTTAATAAAGTTGAGGTTTGGACACAACAAGCATTGTGAAGGTGTCACTTTGAGCTCTGAATAACTGTACAGCATTTCTCACAATTTACAGAATCTTTACAAACAATCAATCAATTAATGGAGAAAATAATCAGCAGATTATCCAGAATGAAAATAATCATCAGCTGCAGTCTGATAGTTCAAAATGAGCTCCAGCTCAACAACTACAGCAGTAAAATGCTGCTTTATATTAATGTGTGAGGAAAAATAATCTGATGGTAGAATATTTAATAGTACAACAGTCACAGGGACATTAAAGTACATTTTCCTGATTGTACTCACATACTTTTACTTCAGTAACTTTTTCAATGCAGGACTTCTATTTGTAGAAGAATATTTTTACAATGTAGTACTTTTACTGTAGTTTCTGTATACTTGATCCACAACTGCTTTTCTCAGTCTTTAACAAAAGGAAACTAATGATCTGTGATGTGTCTGTTTCTGACAGCGTCCACTGTTGGCAGATATTTCTGTATCTTTGACTTTAAACACAATATAAAACTAAAGTCCTGCTATCAAAATGTTACTTGAGTCAAAGTACACAATTACTAGCTAATTTTACATGATGTTGGCAGGTAAATCTGTATCAGTGTGTTGTATGTACAATCTTGGGGTGGTGATGGTGCAATGGATAAGATGTCTGCCTTTGGTGTGAGAGACCTGGGTTCAATCCACCATTGTGTCCCTGAGCAAGACACTTAACCCCTAGTTGCTCCAGAGGCGTGCGACCTCGGACATGTATAGCAATTGTAAGTCGCTTTGGATAAAAGTATAATTTAAATATATCTTAATCTGCAGAGTATCTTGTGAGCAATCTGTCAGCTACATGTTTTCATTTCACATGTTTACAATGAAGGAACGATCAGAGCTGTTGATCCTGTTAATGCTGCTCTCATTTGAGCTGGAATTAAAAGCAGCTCAGCCGAAACTCACCTGAGCTTCCAGGCAGCCGTCCAGCTTTCAGGTTGGACAGCGAGCATTATGTCCTCATTTAAAACCAGGAAGCTGACAGTCCAGTCTGACTCTTTATATTATAACAGACAGACTTTATATCAGTTATTTGTTGACTTTTGAACAGCTTCCTGTCTTTAGAGCAGAGATAACCAAGAGTCAATAAACCAGATAAAAACATCATCATCAACTTTCTTTAAGCGTAACTCTGGAGCTGAGAAACAAAAGCAAAAGCTGATGGCTCTGAATGTCTGTCTGGGCATGTCCCTGTGATTAGAAAACAAAATGTTGGGACATTTAGAGGGCAGAGTTTGGCATGAAGCAGCTCTGAGCTCATTTTAACTTCACCATCCCCCACACGTCAGTCTGAGTCAGGATGTGGGTTCAGTTCTTCCTCCTTACTGTTGGCTGGCAGAAACATGAGGACATCATGTGTGTCTGAAGACACAGTTTTGTAGTTTCCCTCTGTGACACATCCACTATTGTGTCCTGTGGTGTATAATATATGTGCATTTCACGCATAACAGTTTAAAATAGCACTGTAGCAGCAGGACAGAAGAGCAGTGATTGGTGGTTATGTAGGGACCGAACCCTTCTATAGAATTTGACCTCTAACCCCTTGTTTTGATATCCTATATAAGCTGTGTTTGATGTACAGAAAGACAGAGTGGTCATCGTGCTGGGTCACTCTCCAAGCTACTGCAGAGCTTGTAATTAATGCTGAACTCCTTGATGTAATAAACTTTTATGATCAAGAACAGTGTCAAGCGGGTTTCTTCTCAACACATTATTGCAGCATTATTGTTCGGACACCACAGTCCCTAAGCAACATACTTAACCCCCAGTTGCTCCAGATGATAAATAATATGATAAAAACAGACGTGGGCCACTTTAGGTAAAGTATAACTTGAATAAGTAAACTCCTCTTCTTTACCAAGTTGGTCAGTAAGGAATCTTGTTTTAATTATTGTTGACAACAACAAACGGTTTGTCATGTGAAAGCACCACTCTAGTGGCAACGTTATAAACAAGGTTCTCTGTGACCTTTTGAGAAATACATAGGAATAACAGGGATTAATGGTCTGACCCCTCAGCTGGTGTCCATTTGACCTGGTGGTCTGTACCGACAGAAAGACATGCATTAGATGTTCCGTGTAAAGAATAGGCAAATATAAAATCACAGTATGAACAATCAGGGTGATAAGATTATAGCTAGTTTGTAAACATTAACAATACGGATACAGGAGGATGTCACTGTCGGATAGTTGACTGTGATAAAAGGTAACATAGAGACGAGGACACACGGAAGGAAACAGAGATACATGCAGATGCTTGGTACACCTGGGCTAACTGGTTTGGTGAGGATGAAAATGATGGGAATAGAAATATGGCCTTCAGTCACCAGATCTCAACCCAGTTTCACACCTGTGAAAGATTTTAGAGCAATGCTTTCCTCCACCATCGCCATAAGACCATCATATAAACTTGTATCTTCAGACTATGTAGTGATGTCTGTGACTGTCTCTGATGACCATTTGTAATGTTTGACAATGTTTGTGTTTCTTTGTATCTGCAATATTTAGATCTCTCTTGCAAAAAAAATATTGAATTCAATGGTCTGGTTAGATAAATGTGGTATATAATATCTTATATATATATAAAATGATGATCACAGTCAATGTTGAGAGTGGGCTGTTGATGAGATTGACATTAACTCCTACAGATAAATGGACATACCATTGTACTTGTGTTATGTGTGCATATATGAAGTGGTCTTTTCTGTGAACTCCACTACATTAGAAATGATCCGCTTTATTGAAAATAGTGTGGTTAGCATTGAAAAGTGGATAAAAACATAGTGAGACATCTAAATGTCTCTGTGCAAGTAACTCATTAACTACCAAAGCATAATACAATATACAAATGTCCATGTCATTTATTATGCAGGAAATGAAACATGTTCAGTATTACATGGAAATACGTTATTCTTGTAAAGAAAGACGCCATTATTTGAAGTTTTAGGCGGCAACCAAGAGGTAACGAGGACGATGAGGCCTGAGCTGCCAGCCAATCAGAAGCAGGACACAGTTGTTTTATATTTATATACATATATACATATATATACACATGTACACACAACAGGAATGCATTGACAAAATGCCACCATTCCATGCAGCATGTGGGCCACATCTTGGTTTGTTCTTGCTTTATATGGGCTTTTATCTAGTATTGTTTTTGTATTATTGTCTTTACACTTGTTAAAGCACTTTGTAACTTGTTTTTGAAAAGTGCTCTACAAATAAAGATTATTATTATTATATTATATGTGTCATGGTTACGGCTTGCTTGTTGCCCAGATCTGGCAATCAGGAGTGGATCGCCCAAGTGCCATCATTCCAAGCGGTAAGTGGGCCAGATTAAAGTATCAGGTTTGGGGCGGATCAGGGCCACAGTCATTTTGTTATCTGGGGAAGAAAGGGGAAATATACTGCTTTAGAATTCATTATGCAGTTTTGCACATAACAGAAAATCATGCGATTAATCACAATTAAAATTTGTAATCGTTGCCCAGCACTACTTTGTATGTTTTATTTGAATGTCAGTATGTCTGACACACACAGTATTGATTATTTGTTTTATTATTTAATGGTAGTGTAAGACCTGGAGGCTTCTCTGTGGGCCCTCCCTTGAGGCCTCCAGGAGAGCCACATGTCTGACACCACTGTGACGATGCAAGACAAACACAAACACACGCTAATATTCAGATGCACATTTCACCTATTTCACATTTCGCATATTGCATTTCACCCACATTTATGTTACAACTGACAACCAGACTATGAGGTGAATTATAACATTTTACTTCTTGTGTTTGAGTCTAAATGCATTTTCTGTCTGTGTTGCAGAGAAAACACATCATTTATTAGCAAACACACGTGACTAATTTGTGTCACATTTTGAAGGCTCTGGCTTAAAAGAGCTCCAAGGTACAGACAGAAACGTCAAAAATGTTTCAACTCATAATGCAAACTACATATTTTTTCTCAAATCACTCCCAACATTTTTAACATGACTTTAGTTGTTTTTAGAGCACATTAAAGTTTGCTTTGCAGTAACAACTGTCATAATAATACAACATAATTCCTCTTTTCTGTTGGAAGTTTGCATCACATTATAGTGTTCATGTTATTATGTTCACATTCTGTAGCACTTTAATGTCATTAGTCATCAAACAATCTTGTAGTTTATATATTTTTGTTGTTGTTTTGGCCTATATGCGTGTAATGCAGTAAACAGTTCAGCTTTCTTTGAAATCACGTGACACATTTCCTCCTCGCTTGTTTGGGCGGGTCTACTGTAAAAACAAAAAACTATACAACAGGAAGAAGAACCCAGTCTGCGTTCTGCTGTCATGGTCGCTTTAACATCAGCGCCATTCGTGGCTTTGTTCACTTGTTCATGGATCTTTGTTCTGTGTCAAGGTAAGAGGAGTGTGTGTGTGTTGGACTGTGGCGATTCATTGACGTCAACGCCATTGATTATGAAAATACGTAGATTCGCATAACTTGGCCTGGACAACAAGCCGCCATCTTTGGCATTACGGGCTTTTCCCATAGAGCCGTATGTGAGCAGGAAGTGATTGAGTGGCGTGTCTGCTCTGTAAAACGTCTCTGATATTACACAGAGGTGAAATAAATCCATTTCAGAAACATTTAAAGTTGAAATAAAGTTCTGACGGTCTGTTATTATTATTATTATTAGTAGTAGTAATATTGTAACACAGCAGTGATGCGGAAGTTAGACTATGTGAGAAGTAGATCAGCAGAAAGTTGATGGATAAATTATCTTTGATTATGTTGATTTATAGATTTATCTTCTGCTGAATGATCATTAGGAGAGAGATGTGTGGAACTTATAAACTTATTTACTCACAACTGTTTATTAATTATATGTGTGTGTGTGTGGGGGGGGGGATAAATAAAGTTATTTGAATTGAAACTTCCTGTATCACCTTCATTTACTGACTTAAGAACTTTTTAATAACTGTAGTCTGAACTGTTTATACAGCAATTACTCCTGAAAACTGTCTGTTGTTGTAACTCATATTTTCAATTCTATTTACAACATGTTCATTATAATTTATATTCAAATATAGTTTTTTGTAGACTTTGACTCTGCAGGCTGCTGGATATGTTTGTAAAGTTTATTATGAGCTGACTTGTGAACAGAGTCTCCACCTCTGACCTCTGTTCCTGTCCAGCACTGTAGTTTACTGTGTGGACGGATGGACAGCAGAGACCAACATGTGTCCTCTCCCCTCTCGTGGTGTCTGTCCATGCAAATCCAGCAGCTTCATTTGTCTCTCTGAGAAGTAAAGCAGTTTCATACTGTAGGGACTCTTTCCTCAGTAGAAGTAGTTCAGACACAGTCTGAGTAGAGGACGGACAGACTGGGGACACATTTGGAAAACAAGGACAAAGATTCAAAGCTTCTAGGAAATAATAAACTTCACATGTTTAATATTTCAGCTGTTTGTTCAGGCTCAGAAATGCTGATGTCTGTATTCAGATGGGAAATAATATCAATAATCAATAATCTCCAAACAAGCAGAAAGCAGATGAAAGTAAAATGTCTCCTGTCTGATGGTGCGGAGGACGACTTGACTGACAGCTGTAGAAATGAGCAACATGAAGTCAGCGTGCAGCTGCAGCAGAGGAGTTAGTCTCTCCTTTCTGCAGCTGGGACTCAAGTTGTCTGAGAACAGGGTTTGAAATGCTGCTGAGTTCACATGTGCTGTTTTATAGAGACCTGATCTCTGCTGCTTCCATCAAAAGATGTTTGAACAACAGGAAACATTACAAGTCCTGACTGGAGGCTTTTCTCTTTCTGTTCAGAGACACAGGAGCTGAAGGTGAAGCCTGGAGAGGACGTCACTCTTCCCTGTCGGAGTCACAGAGGTGCTGACATAGTAGTGATAAAGTGGATCAGATCTGACCTGAAGTCAGATGATATTTATGTCTTCTTCTTCAGAGACAACCGCTCACATGAAAACTTCCAGCATGAATCTTTTCGTGGTCGAGTGGAGCTGAAAGATCCAGATCTGAAGGACAGAGACTTTTCTGTGATTCTGAAGAACGTCAACATCAACGACACTGGAACATATGAGTGTCAGATTAGAGAGAAAAATGAGAAAGGCAAAGGTAAACCCATCAGCATCATCAGGCTGACAGTGACAGAGCCAGGTGAGTCTCTTTGTCTCTCAGGTGAGTGTGTAGAGCTCAGAGTGTCTCTTTGTCTCTCAGGTGAGCGTGTAGAGCTCAGAGTGTCTCTTTGTCTCTCAGGTGAGCGTGTAGAGCTCAGAGTGTCTCTTTGTCTCTCAGGTCAGCGTGTAGAGCTCAGAGTGTCTCTTTGTCTCTCAGGTGAGCGTGTAGAGCTCAGAGTGTCTCTTTGTCTCTCAGGTGAGCGTGTAGAGCTCAGAGTGTCTCTTTGTCTCTCAGGTGAGCGTGTAGAGATCAGAGTGTCTCTTTGTCTCTCAGGTCAGCGTGTAGAGCTCAGAGTGTCTCTTTGTCTCTCAGGTGAAGCTGCTTCCTGGTAGTTGAGCTGAGAAACATCACAGATCAGATGTTTGTGTTTTAGAAAGATGTTGCTGATGAGACTTTAGAGGAAACAGCTGCTACGAGTCATGTGATCAAAGTGCAGTAGATAATGTCTGACATTCTGTTCACCTGCTGACAGCTGATACCTCACACCTGTTTCTGCTCTGCAGGTCACACAGCTGGACACAAGGAGGGAGGAGACAAGGAGGGAGGAGACAAGGAGGGAGGAGACAAGGAGGGAAATGTTGGACTGATGGTCGGTCTGCCAGTTGTTGCTGTGCTTCTTGTTGCTGTTGTTGGAACAATGCTCTTTAAAAAACGCAGAGGAGAGACATCTCACACAGGAGGAGAGACATCTCACACAGAAGAAGAGACATCTCACACAGAAGAAGAGACACCTCTCACAGGAGGAGAGACAGACGCCCTAAACCCTCCAACATCAGGCTGACAGATCCAGGTGAGTGTGTCGAGCTCAGAGTGTCTCTTTGTCTCTCTGTACCACGAAGCAGGATTTGAGCTTATCCAGGTAACTTCGGGGTTTTCAGCACCATGACGATGGTTCACTTCTTACCGGGGTAGATCACCATGGTAACTTATGCTGAACGGCTAACCTGCTCCGAAGCAGGTTATGTTCCAGATAAGAGATCAACTCTATAAACACTGTCCGCCTACTGACCAATCAGCTCTCTGGAAAATGACATCACCATCTGTAGGAAATCACACAGACTGTTTTATTGGCTGCTTCATGTTTGCAGCGGTGAAACTTTTGTACAGCGAGATCATCCTACAGAGACTGAAGCACTAAAACCTTGTAGGTTTGTAAGATGTGACAGTGAGCTTACTCACCACTTTGAAATGCTTTTTATAAATTTTACTTGATCCCAAGTCTGTTTCACACATCCTGTCACAGCCGTTAAAATAAATGGGTTTTCTTTTTATGTGAGGTTGAATATTCTGAGGATATAAATTAAAAGGCCTATTAAATTAAATTAAGATGAGTTTATTTTAACATTATGTTTTATTTGTTTCTTATGTTACAGAGATCTTTTGTTATGTGGGAGAGTTTTCAGTAAATGTTGAGTTTCAGTCTTTTGCCACTATTAATAATAATAATAATAATATAATAATATTAGCCTCTTTAACGGCAACGCGCTCAGGGCTGGATTTGGAAACCCTGTGTTGAATTATCAGGTTAATAACCAGCATCATGTGACCATTTAGCCTGATCGTGGTTGTTAGTGTCAGTGAAGCCAGATAACAAAAGACATCCTGGGCATGTTGAACTTGCTTCGTAGTAAAGGCTCCTGGTAGTTGAGCTGAGAAACATCACAGATCAGATGTTTGTGTTTTAGAAAGATGTTGCTGATGAGACTTTAGAGGAAACAGCTGCTACGAGTCATGTGATCAAAGTGCAGTAGATAATGACCTGTTTCTGCTCTGCAGGTCACACAGCTGGACACAAGGAGGGAGGAGACGAGGAGGGAGGAGACAAGGAGGGAGGAAACAAGGAGGGAAATGTTGGACTGAGTGTCGGTCTGCCAGTTTGTGTGATTCTTCTTCTTCTTCTTGGTGTTGTTGGTTTTGTGATCTTTAAAGAATATAACAGACCCACAGGGAATCAACAACCTGCTATAAACAGACATGAACTGCAGAACCTGCAGAGAGATTAAGAGACCAGAGGCAGCAGATGAGAATTAGTGAGGATCCAGACTGAAGTCACTCTGGTTACTGTGGGGAGCACTGATTGGTCGTTACTCTCTGGCTGCTGATTGGTGGACTGAACGTGCTGCTGGACAGAAGAAACACATTCCTCCTGTAAAATAAACCTGAGCTGTTGACACACATCTGATTTCACCTGGAGGCAGGTTAATGCCAGATGGGCTGACTGACCAGCAGCTCTGTGGGACAAACAATATGACCTGATGCTGGAACAGCCAGCTGATTGTTAATTAGAGGAAGTGGTACAGACCGTCAGCACCTCCCCCCACCCCTTCAAGTGGATCCATCCATCCATGTAAATACAATTAAATGGGTAAAGAACTAAAAAACGCAAAACACAGAGAGAAAAATGAAAATAAATTTTTGATCAACAGTTACTGATGTCAGTGCCGCTCAACATCCTGCTAGCTGCAGTTATAACACTAACAGTCTGTTCTGGATGACGGAGCTGGACTTTGTTCCCAGTCCGACCCTGAAGAGCTCCGTCCCTGTTGTTCACTCACCGACCTGCATCAGCCTCGGTGAACACATCTAAATTTGACGTCTGTCGCCACTGTGGTGTTTTGAAGAGTGGGTGTGGTGGTGCTTGCGTGGATATTTAGTCTAAGTTTCTAACAGGGCCGTGTCGACTTTGTAGCCGCGTGTGAGCAAGGTAACCCCTGGCAGTGGCAAATATCTTTGGTTTAATGTTTGATTTGATTACATTAATGTTTCAGTTGAGATTTACAAGAAATATTTTATTGCTACTGTGTAAAGGGAATTGACTCATCCACCATTGTGTCCCTGAGCAAGACACTTAACCCCTCGTTGCTCCAGAGGCGTGCGACCTCTGACATGTATAGCAATTGTAAGTCGCTTTGGTTAAAAGCGTCAGCTAAATGAATAAATGTAAATGTTCCACCTACGTGTCTTTACTAACGTGTCAAACTAAAAAAGCCTTCACAGAGTCGTGTAATTGTGACTTCATGACATTTCATAAAAATCTGAAACAGCGGCTGCGATCATTTTACAAAGTACACAGAGGAAACCCTGCTGAAGGGAACCTTGTTCTGAGTCCTGGCATGAGAACGTGTTGTTTCCTTCTTAAAGCAGAAAGTCAGAGTTTGAAGCTCCTGATCAGCTCTGAGTTCAACAGCAGCTGAAACATTTGGGATTTAATCTTCATCATGGAGAAATACTGCAGACTGTATCATGAGGGAGGAGACGAGTTTATCCTGCTGCTGCTCAAAGACACAAAGTTAAACCTGCTTTTAATTTACATTTATTTTGTGGAGTCACCTGAGCCAACTGAACAAAGAAACAGGTTTTATTAGAGATCACTCTGCAATGATTCTCAGGAAACAAAACAGAAAGTTGGGATTCAGAGGCTTTCTGCAGTTTGAAGCTAATTTAAGCTAAAAAATAAATAAATAAAAAATTATAAAGCAGGACGTGTTTATTTACCACAACAGCGGAGTAGCCACCTCGTGTCCTCCATCTTTACTGAGCAGCAGATCACAGAGCAGCTTGAATTCCAGCACTCTGCACTTCTCGCACTACATTTACAGAAACCTTTGACTTTTATAGCCATTATGTTGCTTTATGTTTGCATAGGTGCTTCTATTTTTTAGCTACTTTTAATAGTTTATTTTTTAACTTATTTGTTCAGCTTTGTTGTTTTTAGCTGCAGTCTAATATGTCTTCATACCCACTGCCTCTTCATTTCTACTCTCCTTCAAATTAAAAGCCTCCAGTTTTCTCCTTTCGTCTCCTCTCGCTGTGACCTTTACTAAACATTTTGATTTGAAGAGGCAGCTGCAAAAATCAGCTTAAGGATCTTTGCCTGCTTTTTTTTTAGAACATTTATCACCGTGTGTATGGTTGAGTCTTTTCCCAGATGAACCTGACTGTGACGAAGCTCCTGTGCTGCCCCCTGCTGGCTGTCTGACTGCATGTTTAAATGAAGCTTACAAAGTGCATCTCATCCCCTGATTGGCTAAATGTTAAAATCATCAGTCAGTGATTGGCTCAGCTGCTGTACTGACTGCTAACAGACAGAACAAACAGAAAGCTGCTGCATCATTTCTCCATCAGCCACAATGATTTGTATTTAATGAGGACCAGTTAGTGAGCAGTAAACCAGCAGCTGGACATCAGTGGTTTGACTGGTGTGAAGCTCGACCTCAGTGAAGAGCAGACGACCTCTGGCTCTGCTGGAAACTCTGAACACAAACAATGTTCTGCTAGGAAATGAAATGAATGATGTTTTTTCTTAATTTAGCTCATTGTTAATGTTAATGAGCCCATTCACAAGGCCACATACAACAAAAGTGAAATGACATTAAGGGAATTAGGTTAGAACAGAGACTTACGAGGCGCCATACAAACAGTGAAGGACAAAGAGTTTGATGGCGCATTTGATCATCTCAAATAACTAATACAACTTCTGAATACAAAAGAAAACTGCTCCTGCTCCTGTTGTTTATTCCAGCAGTGTGTCACGCCTCTTTTACACATCATGGCTGCTGAAAAGACTTTCGTAAAGGATACAGCAGTAAATCCTCCCCCTGCAGGCTTCCTCGATCGTCGAGGTGAATTTTAAGAATAGAGATGTCCTTCAAGATGTCGCAGTGGGATCGATTTCCAGGGTGTCAATTTCTCTTTAGTGAGACTTCTGAAACAAAGAATTTAAGGGTTTTATTATTTGCAAAGGCTCAGACAGACATTCAGAGTGCAACCAGTGTGCAGAGATTGAGACAAAGAGACAGTGAAGAAACATGTGACTTTATACTCTGATGTTATCCTGCAGCTGTCTCAGGGAGGGAGGGAGTAGAAACCAACTGTGATGAAGGTCTACCAAACAGATAAGAAACCCTCTAATGAGCTGCTTTCCTATGTGAACTGTGAAACCTAACTACAACATAATAAAGCATTAAGCACCACACAGTGAAACACAGGCCTGTAATAGTACAGCATATAAAGGTAAAACAGTAAAACTCACAGGGGTCACAGGCAGGAGGACGGAGGATCCAGGAGGCACAAAACAGTGAAAGGCCTTTGATGATTACTGGATTACAAGAATGGGGACTCGAGACGAGTCACTCTGTCATCCTGTTTTAACTCTGCCGCCATCTGCTGGTTTAAAACAAACATTCAGAGAATCACAGGTTCTGTTTACTGCCAGCAGTGCTCAGATATATTTGATCAGGGAAACATGCCACTTAGATTTAAAAGTAAAATAACTTTCAGAACCACACAGTTATATGTAACAATGAACCTATGTTGATCATGTGGCAATAAACAAATGCAAGAGAAATGAAAATAAAGACTTTTGGTTTATTAAGCTAAGAGTCAAACCTGCATGCCAAGAGAAGTTTGTTAGCAACAGTAGCCAAGTTGATTACATGTAGTGTAACATTGAGAGTAACATTTTACATTAATGAAAATTACATTACAGTTCATAATCTACACTCACCTAAAGGATTATTAGGAACACCTGTTCAGTTTCTCATTAATGCAATTATCTAATCAACTAATCACATGGCAGTTGCTTCAATGCATTTAGGGGTGTGGTCCTGGTCAAGACAATCTCCTGAACTCCAAACTGAATGTCAGAATGGGAAAGAAAGGTGATTTAAGCAATTTTGAGCACGGCATGGTTGTTGGTGCCAGACGGGCCGGTCTGAGTATTTCACAATCTGCTCAGTTACTGGGATCTTCACGCACAACCATTTCTAGGGTTTACAAAGAATGGTGTGAAAGGGGGAAAACATCCAGTATGCGGCAGTCCTGTGGGCAAAAATGCCTTGTTGATGCTAGAGGTCAGAGGAGAATGGGCCGACTGATTCAAGCTGATAGAAGAGCAACTTTGACTGAAATAACCACTCGTTACAACCGAGGTATGCAGCAAAGCATTTGTGAAGCAATAACACGCATCAACCTTGAGGTGGATGGGCTACAACAGCAGAAGACCCCACCGGGTACCACTCATCTCCACTACAAATAGGAAAAAGAGGCTACAATTTGCAAGAGCTCACCAAAATTGGACAGTTGAAGACTGGAAAAATGTTGCCTGGTCTGATGAGTCTCGATTTCTGTTGAGACATTCAGATGGTAGAGTCAGAATTTGGCGTAAACAGAATGAGAACATGGATCCATCATGCCTTGTTACCACTGTGCAGGCTGCTGGTGGTGGTGTAATGGTGTGGGGGATGTTTTCTTGGCACACTTTAGGCCCCTTAGTGCCAATTGGGCATGGTTTAAATGCCACGGCCTACCTGAGCATTGTTTCTGACCATGTCCATCCCTTTATGGCCACCATGTACCCATCCTCTGATGGCTACTTCCAGCAGGATAATGCACCATGTCACAAAGCTCCAATCATTTCAAATTGGTTTCTTGAACATGACAATGAGTTCACTGTACTAAAATGGTCCCACAGTCACCAGATCTCAACCCAATAGAGCATCTTTGGGATGTGGTGGAACGGGAGCTTGGTGCCCTGGATGTGCATCCCACAAATCTCCATCAACTGCAAGAAGCTATGGGCCAACATTTCTAAAGAATGCTTTCAGCAATTTATTGAATCAATGCCACGTAGAATTAAGGCAGTTCTGAAGGCGAAAGGGGGTCAAACACAGTATTAGTCTGGTGTTCCTAATAATCCTTTAGGTGAGTGTAGTTTAACCTCAGTCATTATTGTGTGTGCAGTGTTGTTATTAAATAAACCTGGCCTGTAGCACCGTGCTGTATACTGTGTGGACACCTGAGCTGACTGACAGCAGTTAGTCTGATGCTCAATGCTTTTAGGGACATGTTGTGAATAAATGAACAAATAAAGAATTGACAACAAACAGTTGTCTTTGTGATATTTATTAAAGTAAGAAAAACACAGTAAACACTCCAACTGGGGCAGAGACCTCAGACACCCAACAGGATTAGAGAGTCCAGCCAAGAGAAAAGACAAATTAAAAATTTAACAGAGAAAGATTTTGTGGAGTCTATGAGAAAAGCCTTGATTCCTGGGAGAAGAGACCACATAGGACAAACCAGAGGTGTTCATTAAATTAAAACACTGGTACAATTAGAGTCATTCTAATTAGGAGCAAAGCACAAACACAATGACACATCCAGGAGTATTAAAGTAAATATAGGTCAAATATCTTTTTTTTTCATTACAGGACACAGTTAGAAGTTCAGTTCAATTCAAAAGCAATATGAAAAGAAATGCCATGTTTATGGATAATATGTCCAAGGGGAAGCAGATACAAGGAAAACAAAATGGGTCCTAAGACCGACCCCTGAGGCACACCATATTTAACGGGACAGAATGAGGAGACATAGTTGTTTACAGACACACAAAACTTCCTATTTGACAGGTTGGATGAAAACCATTCTAGGGCAGTACCAGAGATCCCCACCCAGTGCCTCAGTCTGTCTAACATGATGTTGTGATCAATGGTGTCAAAAGCAGCGCTAAGGTCCAGGAGTACAAGGACTGAGCACATACCTTCATCAGCAGACATTAAAAGGTCATTGGTGACTTTAAG